CATACAATATCATGATTAAGTGCCTACAGATTTCTTTGGTTTTGTCCTCTATCTTGATTAAAATGTTGCAATGTTTATGCTGCCACACAGAATAAATGGAGCCATAGCTTACTTTTCAAACTGTGCCTTGCTGACATAATTATGTTCACCAGATTTATACCATTTCTAATAGATAACAATTATTTTACTCTCCAGCACAGTGAAGGGGAACCTGAGGCTCCTTCTCTCTTCTGATGCTTCGTTCATTGTTACTTCCTCCAGCCCTGGTCATGAGGTGAGGGTTTCCTTGGAAATAATTAAAAATCAAAATTACAGGATAATTCTTGCCACAGCATCTCCTGGATCACCCGCCCTCTCCATATTATTGTTCACCTTGTATTAGTTTTCCATTCCGTTGTAACAAATGACCACGACCTTGGTGGGTTAAGACAACATGAATTTATTGTCTTATAATTCTACGGGTTAGAAGTCCAACAAAGGTCCCACTGGGCTTAATTCAAGGTGCCCGCAGGGCTGCCTTCTTTTTTGCAGGCTCCATGGGTGAATCCATTCCCCTGCCCTTTCCAACTTCTAGAGATTTTCCTTAGCTTGACACCCCCTTCCTCCATCTTCAAAGCTGGCACTGCTGCCTCACTCTGAATTCCTCTGCTTCCTCCCTCTTGCAGCCTTAAGGACTCTGATTTCATTGGGCTGACTCAGATAATTCAGGATAATCACTCTCTTTAAAAGTCAGTTTATTAGCAACCTTAATTCCATATGTGAATTTAATTCTCCTGTTGTCACTATTCTGAGGCACTATTCTGCCTACGACACACCCTATACTGTCCCCACTATAGGCAACCACATTCCTGAGGACTATATTATCCCAGGAGAAGATTACCAGAGCAGAACCAGAAAACCAAGCAAAATGAAGTCAAAATTTTACTTTGGGTTTCAGAAGTTGAGGTCTGGATAGAAGGTAAAAATAATACTAATGATAATAATAATAATAATAATAATAAACAGTGGAAGAATCTGTGATCTGTTAGAAAATTAACCTCCCTCCAACCCACAAGGAAGTAAAGATCATTTGAGCTCCGGAAAAGAGGGATGTTGGAAATGTAACAAGATGGCCTTGCCAATGCTAAGGAAAGTCCTCAAAAGAGATCCTGTGCTCTTTTCCCACCAGGTTAATTGCATGGTGTGGTTGAAAAGGATGAGGGGCTACAGAAGATCCGGTGGGCTTGAGGGATCTGAAGGCAAAGAGGGTCTCTGCTTCACTTTCCAGATAGCGTCTGGTGGACGGCAAGCATGGCCAAGTGCTCCTTCTTGGCAAGGAAGCAAAAGCATTCATGATATGTCTAGATCAAGAGGGTGTGAGCCAGCCCCCCTCAGATCCTCATGGCCTCAGGGTGGTATAAAAGAGCTGTTGGACATTCCTCATGCCCTGAGTGGGGTGGGAAAGCTACCCAATGGATAGAACCAGCTGGCCTCAAATGACCCTGTGGTAAGGATAAATGGTGCAAGACAGATGCCAAGATAGACAACACACTTGTAAATCAGGTGGGAAGAGAGAGGTCCTGGTATATACCAGATAGGAAAGAGAGTGATGAACAAGGGCTGGATGAGAAAGCAGTTACCAGAATTAAGAGGTGATGGTTCAACACCAAACATCCCTTTACCCCCATGCCTTAGGAGTCCATCAGCCCCCATGCCTTAGGAGTCCATCAGCCCCCATGCCTTAGGAGTCCATCAGCCCCCTTGAACTTAGATGTCAGAGGTGGGAGGCAGAAAACCTAAACTGACTAGAATGAAGTTTCCACTACCAATGGATGGAGTAGAACAGAAATGAAATTCAGTTACAGAAACATTATAGAAAATTAGATATGCTGTGCCCCTGAATTTGTGTGGCCCGAAATATCATATTTGGTATATAAAAACATCAGTAGTTGTGGTCTCATCATCCTACACATAAATGGCACTTTGTAAATCCCAAATTCATTGCCAGTTACATTCTTTGAGTTTTCAGCAAACCTGAATTCAAGAGCTGTTGCTCCCTTTTGAAAGATCAAGGAACTGAGGCTAATGAGGTCAACATAGATCCTGAAGGTCGCCAATGACCAAGTCAGGGCTTAAGCCAAATTTTCTCAGACCAGCCTTCTTGCCAAGGTTCTTTGCTGCCATATCCTTTCAGCTCCAGAAACCCAAAGCGGCCCTGGCACAAGAATAATATTGAAGACATGGTCTTAGGCCTCCATTCTGCCACCTGGTGGTGGAACCGTGGAAAGTCACTCTGCTTCCTAAGCCTTGTTTCCACGTAGGAAGGGAGCCTACCGCCCAGGATTACTGTGAGGATGAAGTATTGGACTTAGGTATACTTTGAGAACTCCAAAATGTTCTAAAAATATAAGGTACTATTATTTTTTGCCATATGGAGCTTTTTAGATGAAGGGCTGTAAGAAAAAGTTTCTCTTTGCAGGCATGACAGAGGGTCTATAGAGACGTGAGAGGGATTTTAAATTCCAGCGTAAAAGTGAGTATTTCCCTGTCTATTCTGAAAGAACAGAGAACAGTTTGCCTTACATCCATCGAGCCCTGAAGTTGAAGCTTTAACATGAGATCTTTAATCTAGAGAGAAAGGTGTCTGACAACCTCATCACACTGTTGAATTTTCTCTTAACCTCCAGGGAACGAATGTTCTTTCTCTCTTTTTGTTTTTCCAGTTTACATTAACAAGAAGGAAAGAGACACACACTCACACATCTCTGCATTCTGAGGCTTCATTCTTCTGGGACATCAATCCTCAAGGAGAAGGAGCTTAATTAGTTCAGGAAAGAGAACTGATGGGGAAAAGAGGAAGAGGTAGATAGCTTAATCTTTTCAGAAATGTCAGCCTCATGTTTTGGAGACAACACGGATAATTTGAGACCTCCTCTTGAGTTGTTTGTCCACTGACAGCTCTAAGACTGGAGCAAAGCATCCTCTCCCTCACTGGGCCTCACTTTTCCAATAGGCAAAATGAAAGGTTGGGTTGTAATGCTCTGAAGTAGACAGCAGCTGATGCACACTGACCTAGCATCCACAACCCAACCTAAGACTCTACGCCTCCCCCAATTCACTACCACATATTTTCGGTGCAGCTGTCACTTGGCCCAAGTCCCTGGTATGACTGGTTCTGGGACGAGCCCAGTCCCTCCCCCGACCACAGTGATTGGGACATGGATGAGCATGAGAACCAAGTTGGCGCAATGAAATGGAATCCTCTGACTTTAGTTGGAGGGACTAGGAGAGAGATGTTCTTGTCCTGCAGGACTCACTGAGTGCAGAAGATGTAGCTGGCCCGAGAATGGCATGGTACTGAGGAGTGCAGAGCTAAGAGAAAGACAGGGATCCCAATGACATTATCTGAGCCCCTCAATCCTGTTGTGCCTAGACTTCCATTTGAGCCAATGTATTTTCTCTTTTGGCCTAACTAGTTTGAACTGAGCTTCCGTCACTTATAATCCTAAGAATTCTAACCAATAAAATCTCCAATTGCCCATCCACCTCTGAAGATCTGTTGATCTTTGAGTCTAAAATACAGTTTCATTGCATCATCTCATTCTCTAGAAGCTTCTTCTTTGTATTAGTCTTCTGGCCATTGTCTATTTCCCCACCTGTTGTGTAGGTGCATCAAGAGCCAACTGTATTCTAATTCTCTTGGTCTCTTCCAGAGAGCCTAGTCCAGAGTAAGGATTTCCATCCCTGGCCCCATCTCTCCCTTCCAGCCCTTCTTTCTTTCTTTCTTCCTTATTTACTGAGATGGGTACTGTGGGGATAGTAAGCTAAATCAACAGATTCCATGGGTTCTCTCTCAGCTTATTGGGTGAAGTAAGCTTGAAAAAAGCCAGGCTGTGTGATAAATTATCACAGGTGATACAACAGAGGTAGGTACAGAAAAGAGTAAGGATCCTTATAAAGCACTCATTTCTTCAAGGCGGGGTGGGAGAGGAAGGGCTTCATAAACAAAATGAATCTGGAAAGAGGTCCACTTGTTCGCTACATGGGCTGGAGGAACAATTCACTCTAGGCAACAAAACGGCACAAGCAAACTATCTAAGGCATTAAACAGGCAAGGATGTTCAGGGAACTACATCTATCTGTTCAGCTCTAGTGTAGAATGAAGTAAAGTGATGGAGAAGTTAGAAAGGAGCCAACTCAAGGAGGGCACTTAGTGCCATACTGAGGAGTTTAGCCTTTAGGGCAATGTTCCCCAAGTATCCAAGATGCCTTCCCCACTCCCCCCATATATACACACTCGTTAAATTGTTACAAACTCAGGTTGCTGGGACCTAAGCCCCTCTGTAGAATCAAAATTTCTGGTGTGGAACCCCGGAACCTGCATTTTAAACAAGCACCCTAGGTCCATTCCTATCAAACACCTCACTCAGATTGCGACCCTCTTCTACAGGCAACAAAGATCCTCATGTATCTCCTTCTATGTCCATATCCCACATTAGGTGCTAAAGCTCCTTGTAAATAAGACCACCTTTCCCTCCATGCCTTTGCCTTGGACATCCCTTCTCTTTTCCTAATGTGAGTTGACCCATCTGTGGAAGCCAGTTCCAACACCAACTTCTCCAGGAAGCCTCTACAAACTTGAGGTTTCGGCTGGAACTTTCTCTTCTGGACACTTCATTGACATGCCCCCCATTGTGTGCACAGAGATAAGACATGCCCTACCGCACTCCCAAATGGATTGCAAGCACCCTGAGGCCAGGAGCTCTCGAGAACCCACTGTAGTCGGGTACTAAAGTTCTAATATCTCGTTTCATTCTTCCAACAATTCCATGAGGTAGGTTTAATTATTCCACTTAACAGATGAGGAAACCAAGGCAGCCTGGTTGTGCCGAAGGCCACAGCAGTAAGAGCTATCAGTAGTGTAGTCCTCCTTGACCATCTCCCCCTCACAGGGAGGGGCCTCCAGCAAGTAGCCTTGGCCCTTGGTCCAGTGCCATGCTGCAGAGTCAATGGGCACTTACCACACATCCTGAGGAGTCCACCTGGCGGTCAGACACGCACTTGAAGTTTCGAGTGCAGCCACCGTTGTTCCGAGAGCAGTCACGAACCGGCCCAAAGGAGGACAGCAGGTCATTGATGGTTTCAAAATAAGTAGACAGCATCGCTTCTTCCCTTGGAGAAAAAGGGGATGATTAAACCCCAGAGACATCTGCACCATTAGGTTAAAAAAATTTTAATGTGAATACATTACATTTGAGACCATCATTTATTACATTTGCAATCAATAAAATAATATAAATACATATTTAAAGAGAAAATAAGAAGCAAAGAAAAACAAAAAGAAAAAACCCAATAGGCATATCGTCATATGACATAGTATTTGTCTAGTTATGAAGAAGAAGAATGTACTTGGAACTTTGTACCCTCTATTTCTTTAATCCTCATAGTTTTAGAAGGTAGGTATGAGATTTCCATTTTACCAAAATGTAAACTGTGGCTCAAAAGGGTGAAGTGTCTTGCTGTCGGCCACCCAGATTGTAAAGTGGCAGAACGGAAGTTTGTGCCAAGCTCCACCTGAGTCCAAAGAGAAGGCTCTTCCCACTACACAACTCTTAACTTGCATCATACACATTTCCACAGATTCCAGAGTTCCCCATAGCAAATCTGCAAAATGGGCACATTCCTGTGACTCCAACTTTATGGATATAAATTGAAACTATGAAAAGTGTGAGACTTACTCTAAATCATACAGCCTATAAACAGCAGAGCCAGACATCAAACAGGACTGTCTGAGCCTAGCTCCCTAGAACTTCATTTTGCAGACCATTGCATACAAGACACACCATCAAGACTGGTAGCAATAGCTGTTAAAAAGATCATGGGATTCTAGGTAAATGCACAATTCCTCCCAAATGAGGGTCCCAAGAGATGAGACCGGACAAGATGCCACAATCTATTGATGTGCCAAAATTTTATAAGATGAGAGATACACACGGAAGTTTCTGGATGCTGTTTTTTGGAGAAAGGGCCCCCAATAAGGAATCCTAGCATTAGAGTATCTGTGATGCCCACGGTTGCAGGAGATATTAAAAGGGCACCACAGGCAGTGAGAAGAGGGACCATATTCTTTCATGATATCTAACTCATGGAATCCAGAACTGTGAAAGAAGGGAGGCACATGCGTATGCACATGTAGCAAGAAGAGGCCAATAAGCACTACTGGTGACATCTCTGGACCCTCCTTCATCTCTTCTCCTAATCTTTCCCTCCCAGACCTGGAACTCCAGATTTGGGTCTCCTAGCTTATTCCCTGTCTCCAGTCTTATCCCCTTCCGTCCCGTCTTTCACATCGACTACCAGTGAACTTGGTAAATCCCAGCTCTAATTAGATACCCCATTGATCAACAGCTCTCCATTACTTATACAAGAAAATCTAAATTAGTTTTCTTGGCATTCAAGGCTCTTCATAATCTGGTTCCTTCCGACCTGTCCAGCTACTTTTACCCTGTTTCATATTCTCTATCTGCTAGCCACAGGTCTCTTCTCACTCCCTAAATACACAATCTTAGATCAGGCTCCCTGAAAACAGCCTCTGAAGTGGAAAGTTGCAGACAGAGGGGTTATTGAAGAGCCCTCTTAGGATACACTTGTAGGAAGTGAGCAAGGCAGGACTGGGCAAAAGGAGAGGCTGACCTGTAATGCAGTCGATCCCATGTGGATCTGAAACCTCATCGGTCCTGAGGGGAGCTCTGGAGCTGGGATGGCCGTTTAGGGACGTCCTGAATGGAGGCAAGGGATCCAGGCTTCTGCATCACCACATCAGCCAGTCATTGGCCAAGGGCTGTCACTTGGAAGGGAGTATCCTTGGGTGAGGCAGCTCCCTGTGACTACAGGTCATGCCTGTGAGGGATGCAGCTGTGACCCACCAGCCACTGTCTGGGGGATGAGTGGGTCAGCCCTGAAGAGGGGATCTGGGTGCAGTATATACCTTCACTTCTCCAAATCCTTAATCATTGCTCTTGCTTCTGTGTGGGATGCACATCTCTAACTTTTCTGCCTGAGAAAATCCTAAAAACCCTTCAAAACTGTTCAAATTCATTCATTCATTCAGTGCACTGCTTATTGAGACCTTACAATGTACCTGGCAGTATTCTAGGTACTGGGGATGCAACAGTGACACTGGACAAAGTCCTCACCTCCACAGAGCTTACTGTGACCTCCTCTGTGAAACTTTACTTACTTCCCCCAACCAGAATTAATTCCTTCTCCCTCTGAGTGAATTGTTTAAATCTATTATCTTATTGATCTAAACTATCAGCTCTGTGGTTTCCCAGAGAGACGGTAAACTTTTTGAGTAAGGGGCTCAAGATTTATTCATCCCTCTTTAGCCCCCAGCACAAGGCCTGGAAAAAACTTGAGCTAAGTAAATGTTTTGCAAATGAAGCAAACACCAGAAGGCATGGATGCAGCATCCACCAAAAAGTAGTTTTACCAAGAGTCTCTCCAACAGGACACTCCCTTGCCCACCCCCAACCATGTGTTTCCATTCCAAATCCTCATGCTCAGAACAAAGGAGACGATGCAAGGAAAGCTGCCAGACTATCCTTCACTTCCTAACTTGTGTAGAGTGAGGTCAGAGTGACAGGTAGATAGAGGAAGAGAATGAACAGTTCCTGAGACTTGCCACTTTTGAATCATGGAAAGGGTTTAAGATCCTGGGAGGACCTTAAGGGTATTAAAATATTAATATCTTTAGAGGGAGAAGAAGAAGTGGGCAGTGAGAGGAAGAGATAAAGACAGAGGGAGAGACAATCTGAGAAAGCGTGAGAATAAGAAGAGAGATAAACATGTAGAGAAACTACTAGAAAGAAAGAAGAGAAACTGAGAGGCAGAAACACAGTCATCCAGAAGAAAATGGATGGATGGATGGAAGGATAGATACCTAGACAGATGATAGGGAGCTGATAGAGAGAGAGAGAGAGAGAGAGAGACAAACAGATAGACAGATATGAATGGATAGACAGAAAGTTAGAAAGACAGAGAGAGACACAGAAAGAGAGAGACCCAGAAGAGTGTCATATAGAGAGAATAAGAGGGAGACAGACAAAATGTGTGCAAAGAGAGATAAAAATGAAGAGCTAGATTAGGAGAAGGACAGAGAGGTAAAAAGAGGAGTGAGAAACACAGAGATTCAACAAGGAGAAAACACCAAGGTGCACACGACAAATATTCAGTGTATGAAGGAGAAGAAGAGAGGGAGAGGAGGAGAGAAGGCGGAGAGGGGAGGGAAAGGGAAGGAGACAGACTCCGAAAGACAGCAATGAGAGTGAAGAGAAAGACACTGCATGGGTGGAAAGGAACACACAGGGAGACATGGAGAGCAGAGACAGAACAACAGAGAGAAACAAAGAAAGAGAAGAGCAAAACAAGCAAAAACTGTCACCTTCCCAAGGAACCTAGAGACAGCTCAAGCTAGACAAATAAGGCAGCTGTTAGCTTTTAAAAGGATGTATCCTGCATAAACATCAGTTCCATGAGGGGAACTGATTATTTAAAACACAAAGACCTGACACCGGGGCTGTTACTGAGTTTAGAGAGTGATGGTGTCACGTTGGGAATATGAAGAATGTGGGCGCAAGTGAGAGAAGGAGCTCAAGGCAGACGCTGACACTTTCTTAACTCAGGACTCAATTCTTCATCTCAGGTGCTGAGTCCAGAGTCTGGGGTCTTTTGGAGCTTAGAGCTGCCCCAGGAGCAGGGGGCAAATGGACAAGGGAATAGCACTGCGGGTGGAGGTGGGCTGGAGTGACAGGTGCTGCACAGGGCAATCAGGAGATCTGGGTGAGGGTGCCAGCTTTGCCAGAAATCCCCATCATCACCAACATCCTCTTCATCACCTGTGATTTCCTGAGCACCTGCTACGTGCCAAGATCCGTGCTGGGTTCCTTTGCTGAGCTCTCTCCTTTGAGTTCCACCACAAGACGTACACCTTTTCACTCCCATTGTGCAGCTGGAGAAACTGGGTCTTGGGGAAGATATGTCACTTGTCCTACTTCCCATGGGTACGAAACACCAAGGCCAAGATGTGCATGTGAGTCCAAGTGATGTCAGGTCCTGAGTCTCCTCCACGCCACAGTTAAGCTTGCCCAGTTTGCTCTATGCCCTTGGGCAAGTCAGAGCTCTCATTACAGTAAAGTGGGTAGAAGTCTGTAGCCAGTGCCTCTGTGTCTTAGGGGAGGAAGAACTGGAAGGGCAGAGCCTGCACAGCCTTTGTCAACCAGCCAGCGCTGTCTCCTAGGCTGTGCACCTGCCACAGCAGCCTCAATCCACATTGGAACCAAAGGGGGAAACAGTGTATTTGTTTCCTAGAGCTGTCATAACAAGTACACAAACTAGGTGACTCAAAACAGCAGAAGTCTACTCTGTCAGCATTCTGGAGAGTGGAAGTCCAAAACCAACCTGTCAGCAGGGCCCTTCTCCCTCTCTAGGTTCTAAGGGGAGAATCCTTCCTTGCCTCTTCATAGCTCCCCATGGCTCTTGGCAACCCTTGGCATTCCTTGACTTATGGCTGCATCACTCCAATCTCTGCCTTTATCATCACATAGCCTTCCTCCTTGTGTCTGTCATTTCCTCGTGTTATAAGGATATCACCCATTGGATTTAGGACCCACCCTAATCATTATGACTTTATCTTGCTTATACCTGCGAAGACTTTATTTGTAAATAAAGTCACATTCTGAGGTTCTGCATGGATGTGAACTTGTGGGGGACCCTACTCAATCCACTACTTATGGCTCGGAGGGAAGTCCTCAAGCTCACACAGTAGGGCAGAGCCAGGACTGGAACACCCTGGTCCTTGGCTCTTACTCCAGTGCTCTTAACCCCACATCAGCTCTTCCAGCTCCAGACTCTGCATGTTACAGTGTGATATTTACAAGGCCTTCAAAGTCTTAGAAAAAAGACCACATTGAAGCCACTTTCACATGATCTGCACCTTCACCTGAGAGGAGAAAAAGCCAACCTGCCAGGCATTGTGCAGAGGGCATTTCACATACATTCTCTCAACCACCCTACAGAACAGGGGTCGGCAAACTTCTCTATACAGGAATCCATGGTAAATATCTTAGGCTTTGCAAGCCCTAGTCCCTGGCCAACTACTCAACTCTGCTGTT